GAAGCTGAGTTACGGAGCTGGGACTCCATTGCAGGCTGGGATGCCTTGGGAGGGTGTAAGGGTGGGGACTTTTCTTTCAAAAAGATGACTGTGGAATGGCGGGAAGCAAGATTGGAGCAAGGGCGTCTGCTTCAAGCAGAGCCAGTGATGATGTGAACTAGGACAGCGAGTAAGATAGTGACAGTGGGGTTCAAGGGAAGTGAGTAGGCTTGAAAGGTATTTAGGAAACCAGATATGAGGATGCCTCAGTTTCTGGCTTGGGCAATTGGGCATCATTCACCAAAACAGTTGACATTGGAGGAGGACTGGGCAGTGAGGTCACTGCTAGCAGACTCATTCTGAGTTTGCAGGCAAATCAAGCCTGGGTCTGTCATCACGTGCCGCCGCCTCCTCCACAAGGAGAACACACGCCGTGTGAAACGAAGAGCAGACTTGTCTTACTATTATTTTGGAGCAGATATGTGCTACAGAGAGTCTGTAGAGGATATTGTTCTGTGTGTCACATGTGCACCACAGCAGGATGTATGTGATTAGTAGAGAATACACACTTACATGTCTTAAAATATTAAATTTTTCTGAGTTACTCTGTAATGTTTGTTGGAATAGCCTTCCCAGGAAATGAAGTTTCATGTTCTGCTTTCTTTCAGGTATGCTCCAGAATGTTTAATTCAGTGTAAATTTTATATTGCGTCTGACGTCTGGTCTTTTGGAGTGACTCTGCATGAGCTGCTTACTTACTGTGACTCAGATTCCAGTCCCATGGCGGTGAGTTGTCTCTTCATTTGAATCTAGCACCCAGCTAAAACATGTCCATCCCTCTGCTTTCTACGTTTTGTTCTTTTTTGTTCTTAAATGGAATCTACTCAGTATTATAATGCAAAGGGAAAGTGTCACTTTTCCATTTAACTTGGCTTGATACTTGACAGTTATTTGTGGCTCTCTCAAGTCTCAGTTTCACATACAGCCCCAAGTTCTATAAGATGACCCTGACTTTCAACGATCTTATCTGTGTGAGGAATCCAGGGACAGTCTCCTGTGAGAATGTGTGAGTTAAGTGAGGGATTGTTGGGTAGGCCTTGTCTGAGCCTCATGAATTCCTCAATGAGACCGTTTTCACTGGGACAGGCTCCTTGACCAGGGGAAGGAGTGGTTGGTAGGGTCTGAGAGGTTGATTAGTCTGATCATTGAGAGCGAATAAGGATTTTGGACTTGCATTCAAAGTTACTAAGGAGAAAAGCTTTTTTTTTGTTATTTTAATTTCAGGTTAATTTTAGAAATTTCACCTTAATCTATCTTGTGTTTATAAATATATGCAAAGTAAATCATTTTGGTTTTATTTTACATAGTTGTTCCTGAAAATGATAGGCCCAACTCATGGCCAGATGACAGTAACGAGACTTGTGAACACATTAAAAGAAGGAAAGCGTTTGCCTTGTCCGCATAACTGCCCAGATGAGGTATTTATGGGCCACTTCATGTAATAAAACTCAATTTTTATTATGTTTTCACAGCTTGAGTTATCCAGCCAGGATGAGGGGGTGGGGGAAGAAGTAGAAAACTCCTTTTTAAAACAGTTTTCTGAAGCTGAATTTCAGATAAGATATCTGAGAAGTCAGCTCTGGGGCAGATGACAGCTGTAAGTTTTGTTCAAAGCAAGGATTCCCTCCAAAAGTAGGCTCACCTCAGTGAGCACCCTAGGGACATGTTTTGGTGTTGCCTTATTGTGACAAATACGTATAATTGCATTTTTGTGTGTAAGTCTATCACACTCATCAACAACATTGATGACATTTGTTCAGCTTTCTGTATTCTAAAGTAAATTGAGCCTTTAACTCTTCAGACTATTTAAGACGTACTGAATAGCATGCATCAGAGAGTGAAGCAACCAATGGGGAAACTGAGTCTAAGCTGAGGTGAAACCCCACCTTTGAACTGGTTGGTTTGCGGTAATTAATAACCTGGATTTTTGGGAAGGTCAGTTAGCGCATGAGCTTCTCAAGTGTTAAAATATTATTTAGGAACTATAGTTGCATCACATTTTCTATATTTTAGATTACTCAAATACTCTTGTTTTCTAGTCTTATTTATTAAGGAAAGTCGTTTACATTCCAAAATTATTTTCTTACTCTTGATGTTTCTGTCATTTAAAAAAATGCTCCCAAATCTAACAACATTTTTACTATTGTTGGTTCTTTTTATTCACTTTACAGGTTTATCAACTTATGAGAAAATGCTGGGAATTCCAACCATCCAATCGGACAACCTTTCAGAACCTTATTGAAGGATTTGAAGCACTTTTAAAATAAGAAGCATGAAAAACATTTAAATTCCACTGTGTATCAAGTCCTCCTCCCCCCAACAAATACCCAAGCCATTTAAAAAAAATTTTTTTAATGGAAAAAGTTTGTATTCTGTCTAAAAAGATACTTGGGTACGTATCCATGTATAAAGGCACACTGTGGTGCTTAATGTGTAAGTACTTCCTCTTTACATTTGGCACCAGTAACAGTGACAGATAATGACAGACAACGTATTAGCAAGCACTCCTTTTGGAAAGAATCTATCTCCATTTTGTTTGGCTGGTTGACCATCACAGTTGTGTACCAGAATTTCAAAACGAGGAGCTGACCAAAGCACAGTCTCAAGATGATTGCTTTTTCTCAGCTGCTAGTTGATCTGAAATGTCTTCTGGCACATAAAAAAGATTGATGGACTTAGCCAGTACTCTAACATGCCCTCAAATTTCAATATCTATACAGTGATAGATCAAGCATTCTTGAAATATTAGACACCAGTTAGTACAGTGTTGTTTCTATACAAAGATGAGTGTGTGCCTGTCACCAGTAGGACTTCAACTTTCAGTTGTTTTTCCAGTGGCTTAGCTCCTGTCCCCTTGGATGACCAGTGGTACCCATTTTTGAGAAAACTGGTCATACCCAGGGAGATAGCTGTGGAATAGATAACTTTGCTGCATGATGTTAATTCTTGAGAACTAAGCCTGTGCCCGTGCTTTCCTAAACAAACAGTATACCTTGAATCAGAATTGATTCCAAGAACCTGGATGCTATTATACATGCTTTTAAGAAATGTCAATGCATATCCTTTTATAACTCTATACCACTTTGGGGCAAGCTGTTCCAGCATTGGTTTTGGATGCAACCAGTCAGAATATATACCACATCCATTGCACTGTTCTTAGAGTGTTTGAGTACTTACCATCCAAGACTCCATCACTGTTTTGACCATGACCCTATGGCACAAAACTTGAAAGAAAAGACCCAGCTTAGAGGCACTATGGAGTTCAGGATCCACTAGACAGTTTTCAGTTTGCTTGGGGGTAGCTGGGTAATCAAAAATATCTTAACGTCTGATTCAATGTGAACCATAAGATCTTTAAGACCAAGAGTCCGAAAAACTTTTTGTTAATGCCGTCTAGCATTTGTTTGTTGATATCATTACTTTGAGCCTGAAAAAAAGTTGTGGATTGATTCAGTGGCAACAATAAACTTGCCATTTAAATTTGTTCACTAACCCTACATCACCAAGGTCTCTGTCTGTGTCAAACCTGTGGCCACTCTCTATGCACTTTGTTTACTCTTTATACAAATAAACATGCTAGAGACTTCACATGCATATGCCTTTTAATATTAAGATTGCATTTTCAAAGCATTTCAAACAATTCACTTACATAGAAAAATAACAGTATAGACTTTGGGGGTTGTTGGTAATGGTCCTGATTACTAACACCACTTGATTTGTACTTATCTGTTATGTCCAATGGCAAGGAGCACAGGCCAGTATGGATGGCAGATTCACATGTGCTATAATCCAAAATGTCTTTTAGCTCTTGCAGCCTCTTCCTGCTTTTATGTTGCAGCTCTAATTTAAAATTCACCATCCTCCCTTTCTTCTGTTTGTACTATCACAGAGGTGTGACTAAGCACTGAAGAGGCTTAATGCAACAGGAAAATGGGAAGGAGAAGTACAGAGCAAGAAGAATCCATTATTCATCTGCTGAGTCATACTTGAGTGATGCCTATCCTGATCAGTTAACTTATAGGTAGTATACTCCTTAGAAATTATCTTAGTTTAACTTTCTAGCTGTCATTTTCCAATAGAAGTTAATATATGCAATAAATTAGACCAAGTAAAATTCTTTACAAGTCATACAACGTTTACCAATTTTAAACTTCATAATTAAAACAGAATAGATTTATCTATCATAGTCAAAAATAATAAGTCCCCTAAATTACAAGAGATTTAATGATCTGATTTCAAACAGGCTAGGATCAGTGAGACCCCTTAAACTCTGTATCATCAATTACAGTCTCATATCAAGGAACAAACTTAGAAATTTCTAGATGGCAAAGGGTGTCTCATGCATTTAATACCAAGGTCTTTAGGAGATGGTGATGTCTCAAGTTACGTGAAATAACCACAATTCTTTCAGAAGTAAGTTGGGTTAAACAGCTGATAATTTTTCAGCCTAACTCACTACAAAAGAATAAGAGACAAAGCAGAGAGTTGAGGTATAGCTTATTAATTAGCTCAAAATGGTTATAAATACTGTTACTCCGTAAGACTCCTTCAGAAAGGGTAGTATCAACTGCTTTACTATATTGTGGAAATAGGGCATTTGATGCTCACAATATGTCCTGTTCTAGTAAGTAGATCCTCACTAGAATGTCCTATGGAATAAGATACAGGAGTCCATGTTCCTTGCCACTTACAAGTCTGTTGCAAAAGGTAAAGGTCTTTAGGTGAAGTAAAAGGATTAGGGAATTAGTGCTATTAGATCAAGGTCAGCAAACTTGCTCTATAAAGGGCTAGACAGTAAATATTTTAGGCTTTGCAGATCATATGGTCTCTGTCACAGCTACTCATCTCTGCCATTGTAGCACAAAATAATAGCCCTAGATGGTATGTAAATAAATGAGCATGGTTGTGTTCCAGTGAAATTTTATGTATGGACACTGAAATCTGAATTTCATATAATTTTCAAGTCATAAATTTTCTTTTTTCCTCCAACTATTTGAAAATGTAAACATCATGCTTAGCTTGCAGACAGTATAAAAACAGGTGGAAGGCTGAATTTGACCCCAGGATGTAGTTTGCCAACCCTGGTCATTAGATCACCAAAGCTACTTTTCTTAAAATACCTTGTGTTTTTCACAAAAGGTATAAATGGTAAAAAATTAAAGGTAAATCATCTGCAGTAGTGTCCACCTTGGACGTCACGATCATTCTATGTTTGAGTTTATATTGCATGGCTGGTGTGGGGGTAATCATTTAGTCTGCATGTAGAGTATCTTTATCTGCACTTGTATAGTTCTAGGAAAAGTTCTAAAAATCTATAAATGAGATTACTTCTAGGGAAAGTAAGTTGAAATGCCCATTAGCTTATAAGAACCTCATTCTTCTAAGGCTCAGGAAACAAGACTGTTTCTCGTTTATTGCTTCAAACTTTTATGTGTGGTGTCAAAATTATTCCCAGTCCTAAAACAAGGAATATTGTTAATTTCTCCAATGGACTGTAAGTTAATATCACATTGATTAAGATGCATCTAATTCTGGTGGAAAATGTCCTCAATTGATATTTCTTCTTATTGCTACTTATTTTTTATTTGGCAATTCTGCCTGCTGCACAACACAGTTCCTTCTGGGAAATTATAAACCCGTATTTAAAGGATATGGCTAGTTTGAATGTAGTTAAGGCAGCGAAGAACAGCAGAGATACTGCAAAGAACCTTACGAGGTTATAAGGAGAGAACTTAACTCAGTACACACGCTTCTTTTTTAAGTAGGTTTCCATGTAATATGCTCCTGTGCCCTGAGAATGCTGGTCAACGAACTCCACTGAACCACCTTCTGGGGCAGAGACGAGATATGATGAGCCTCGCTTCTCATTTCTTAAAGATGACACCTGTGAGAAAAAGAAATCACAACTAATGCTAAAATCTAAACTAAAATTGGTTTATTTGTTAAACCCATTTATAAGAAAAGTTGTCCTGCTGATTTGATGTAAAAACTGAATAGGATAAATAACAAAAAGTTACAAAATTCCTTTATTAAAACAAATTAGATTTTTAAATTTCTATATCAAAATCACTTGTGGAACTTTTACAAAATACCAGTTTCTGAGTATTCTCTCCCTCCACATGTTGGGGAAAGTAAAAAAAAAAAAAAAAAAAAAAAAAACTATAGTTGCTTCTGCTGTTCACAAATAGTTAAACCCCACTGAATCAGAATACGAATACCAGATGTCAGTATTCCTCTGAGGAAGGAGAGTGGCTAAGAAATTGAGCTGCATATCAAATTAGATGTCAAATCCATCTAGAAATAAAAGTGGCAAGAGAGTAATAGGTGTAAAAACTGGGAAATGATGTCAATGAAAATAATAATACATCCTAGAGAGTAATGTCAACTCAAGTCTACAGAATAATCACCTGGAAAATATTAAAATGCAGATTTCCAGGATCCTTTCCAGAGATTCTGATCAGAATTAGTCACAGTAATCCATACAGTGAATCAGAATGTGTAGCACAACCCCATGATCTTCTAATCCCTCTCAGTTTTACCTTTTACAAATACTATGTGTGCCAAGCTCGTTGAAGCAGAATTATATAACTTAACGTACAAGATTGTAGAAATAACTCATAAGGAAAGCTTCCAGCAACGCAGAAGAGCCTTGTCATGTTACAATTAAAATTACAATTGTTTTTGAAACAACAATGATCACAGTTTTAAAAATGGAAATCAGGGGCTAGCCCTGTGGTGTAGTGGTTAAGTGCAGCGCGGTCCGCTTTGGTGGCCCGGGTTCGTGGGTTCAGATCCCAGGCGTGGACCTACACCACTCATCAGCCATGCTGTGGTGGTGACCTACATACAAAATAGAGGAAGACTAGCACAGATGTTAGCTCAGGGCAAATCTTCCTCAACAACAGCAACAACAAAATGGAGGTCAACTTCAGAGGGAAAGATAATGAGTCTGTCACAACTCCCTGCAGATAAAGTAGTTCTAAATCATCCATGTTTAGAGGGCTTAATGAGGAGTCGACCAAGATGGTGACCTAGGAGGCTCCTGAGCTCCCCTCCTCCCATGGGTGCACCAAATGTACAGCTACACACAGAGCATTTTCCTCTGGAAGAGATCTGGAAACTAGCTGAGTGACTTCCTACACACTGGACAAATGAGAGAAGACCCACATTGAGACAGGTAGGAGAGGCTGAGACACCCTGGCACAGCACCACACAACTGGGACAGAACTACCAACTCTTAGCTTCTCCCTCAAGACTGAAGGGTTTAGACTCCACATCTAGTGCCCCAACGTGCCCAACTTTTAAGACTCCCACTGGAGGGATGGGCTCCCCAAACACCTAGCTCTGCAAGCCAGTGTGGCTTGTGTCCATGGGACCCACAGACTACAGCAAACAAACAAGCTATTCCTTAATGGGCGTGTGAACACTCACTGCACCTCCTCAGGGGAGCAGGCAAAATCACTGATCTCCCAGTCCTTCTCTGAAAGAGGTTTGTCTGCATACTTTTTTTATTTTTTATTTTTTAAAATTTTTATTTATTTTTCCCCCCAAAGCCCCAGTAGATAGTTGTATGTCACAGCTGCACATCCTTCTAGTTGCTGTATGTGGGACGTGGCCTCAGCATGG